GATCTAAAATAGTTTCGCTAGTAGCCGACCACAAAACTGAATAGTCATTAGGTATGCCATTGTAAAATGCTTGTGCCATTTTCTGAGATGTGTGCACAACGGTGCCCATTGAAATGTAGACTACACTTTTTTCTTTTTTACTGTCCAGCCAAGACTGAATATCGGATGGTAGAGGATCAGGTTTCTTTGAAATAAAAGGACCAACATAATCGACTAATGGAAGATTAGTTTTTGGATACTCAAAGCCAATGACAGTAGTGAATATTAGAGGTATTGCATGACCAAGTGGCAAGTACCTACTGTACTTCTCATCCCAGCACTCCTGGTTCTTTGAAATCGTACGAGAGCTAATATAACCTTCCAAAGGTTTTGTAACAATATTTGTGCCTGCCAGTTTGAAACGATCAACAAATGACAAGTCCTCCGTCATGTCTGGGTAAATATTCACCAACGGAAAAGGCCATGAAGGAGACAAAGGTATTGTGAACGGGACAGGACTAGCTGCAACACCAACGATGCGTAGATGCTTCATAGCCTCGTCACAAGCATAATTCCCAGCAAACCAATTAGCAAACCAATCAGATAATAGAACAACGTCCCATTGCCTGAAATCAGCTCCATTATTTTCAATAAAATATTCCATTGATGAATGCATATTGAATATGACCTCTTCCACAACAGTCATCATATGCTGCAAGGTGGACCCTTTTCTATTGGCATTCTCCAGTATCTCATAATAGCTGCTGTTGACTGGTATGGGTATGCAAGGAAAGCCAGCTTCCTTACAGAGAGCCCTCCCTTTGCTATAATCAGTGTATTCGGGGAGTAGAAAGGTGACGTTGTGCCCTTGCTCTCTCAAGGCATTTCCCAAAATTAACATGTTCAAAACATGGCCGGACATTGGTGGGACCGAGATGACAACTGAGAGAGACTTCTTCTCAGCCAAACTGTCAACAGGGAACGTAAATAGCACGAGAAAAAGGATGGGCAACATTTCTCTATGAGCCAAGACTGTATCTAATTAGATCTAGTAGCATCTATGATTAGATAGAAGCCACAGAAAATGAAATATCAGTTGCTGGTTTATCACCACACATTATTGCCACGAATTGCATAAAATGAATCATATATGGCACTCCAGCCAGTGCTTTAACTGTTACTTAATTTCTTAATGATCATTATTTTTTATAATGTCAACAATAAGAACAGTTACATTATCAGTACACCCTCTCTTAACTGCTTCAACTGCAAGCCTATTACAAGCCACTTCAAACCTATACTCCCTATCACTGACAACTTCAGTGCCTTGAATCAATCTATCATCTACAAACAACGAAAAGATCCAGCATTAAAAATAATGACTACATAACATATGCACCTTCTCCTGGTTTCTGAATAGATTCGTCCTAAATGAAGTAACACCATAGTAAAATAGTAATAATAATAATAATAATGCTCACATTGACTACTGCTAGTATAAACTTTGCTACTTCGTCCATTTTAAAAACATTCCACAAACCATCGCAAGCAACCACTACAAATCTATTATAAATTGATACATAGAAAATATACAATAATTAAAACAAAATAAATATAATAATTATCATGTGTTTTCTTGCTCCAAAAATTCCACTAATGTATTATACTATCGATCTAATGTTGAGCCAATTCAAACAATTTTTTTGAGCTGTTAAAACTATTATTCCTGGATGGTGTAATCATTCATACTTACAGGTCATTCTCAGTCAGTTCACATCGTGAGACGTGTGGAGTTGCTACGAGGCCACACCCCTTGAACCTCCCATCACCAATGCTCCTAGAGACCTCCATAATACCCATTATACGTCCTTCCCTATAATAATAATAATAATAACAATAATAATAATAATAATAATAGTAATAATAATAATAATAATAATAATAAAAATAATAACAGAATGATTGATTATAGGCACCTAACGAATCCACCAGATTTTTCTATCCTCTTCCTTTCCTCCAACTGAAAAAAACAAAAAATAATGAAAAAATCATAATCAAAAATGTAACTAACACTGGCAGAGGTATGATCTTTAGTTAATGGAACTGATACTATGGCAGACTCTCCTCCAGTGTCTCCCTTGCCACTTCTCCTGTACATAACAGATTTACTGTCACCAAGATTACCTGGAACAACCAAAAATTATTATATACAGTATAAAGGTTATGTCTAAATTTCAATCATTTTGTGTTTTCATTAAAATTTTCATATTAAATTTGACAAAAGAGGTATGGTACTCTAAAAAAATGGCTGCAAAAGATAAGATTCATACTAATAAATAGCAAATCTGGACAAATTCACAAAATTTTACACCAACAACATAAAAGCCCCATACAGTATTGCATATAAATTATCACAATTTCAGTAAATTGGTGGAAGGTTGTTAAAATACCTGAATATAATACATTATCTATTGCCATGATGATGGCAACAGTTGAGCCATCCTTCCAACTCGGCGTCGCTTTTGCTGCAAGCGACAAGAAATCGGAATCAGTTTTCTTGAAAGAATCAACAAGACAGCGTTTGATTGACTGAGCTGAGACATCCTCTGAATAAAAAAAACAAAATAAATGAATTTTGTTTTAGTTTTTTCTTTTGCCTTTTTGTCACTTTTTTGTTATAACTATTACTATTATTATTA